TCCTATAAATACTGGTGCTAATAATATCTTAGCAACCAAACACATCTAGCACTAGAATTGTTCCATATTCTGGGAGAGTGGAATGTAAACCTCCTGAACAAACCAGAGTTGATGGTCTCTACAGAAACTAGAGAAAGGAACCACGTAGGTCCTAGCTATAGTAACTCAGAGGATAGTAAAAAACAACAAATGGTCTGGTAGCACTTTATAGACTAACAAAAAATATAGATGGTATCATGAGCTTTCGTGGGCAAAGCCCACTTCTTCAGCTGACCAATTCCAGTCATCTGAAGAAGTGGGCTGTGCGCACAAAAGCTCATGATACCATCTATATTTTTTGTTAGTCTATAAAGTGCTACCAGACCATTTGTTGTTTTTTCCTGTACAGACTAACTCGGCTACCCTTAATGTCTTCAGAGGATAGTGTAATTCTCTCTGCTGTGAGGATTTGCCTTTTGGCCTGCATAGTTGTAGATCCAATTGACCTTAGCTCTACCATTTTCCTGGGTTGCCCCATGGGCTGAGGACACAAGTTATTCTGTGCAGAGTTCCAGAGTTCTGTCCGTAGCAACTTTGAGGTTTGTTAAGTATCAAACCAGTGAATGAATAAGAAATGAAATGTTAAAACAAATTGGAGAACATCTCTGGCAAACTGCTGCTCACATCCATACAGTGTTCCCAATCCATATCTTCAAGGCCTATCTCCAAATTCCTGTGTTGATAGTACTGTCCCTTATGAGAGAGTATCTCTAACTTATCATTTTCTATAAACATACCTCTGCATTGTTCTCCACAATTTTTACAGTAAATCTATAGCTCTTGTTTTGCTATTAGCAAAATAATCTTGTTTATCAGTGTGATTTGCACATATGGCACAAAATTAAGCTTGATCATTGTAACATTTTAGGAGTGCATTAGGATTGTTGCTGACCTTGGACACAGCCAGTGCATTACACATACTCAGTGGCCCAAAAGGAGAAATTAGCTGTCTATGTACAATTTTAGCAGACCTAGCCTACTAGGATATGTGTCCTGACTAGCTGGGACTGAGGATTCTACTACCCAACTCTATGACTTTTCATGGGGATCAGAGACCATTTATATTGCCTTTTTATAGTTTTGCTCAAGGGGGGGAAGACTATTAAAAGTACCATCACATTCTGAAATGGAATATTACTATATACTCACAAAGGAGGCACATTAGCATTGCTGTGGGAATTGACTCTTATGGTTCAAAATTTCAGAGTTAATGCTATAGTAACAGAACTTGTTGTTTTCTTTCATTTTTTAAATACCATTTAAGGTCTGCTTGTGTGGTTACATATAGATCTGATTTAAAGGCAGTTTGGAATTGCATCTATTGGAGCTATAGGAAATAACTTTCCTGAAGCAGATTCAGATACTCTGTGGACTCCTGAGAGCACAGGGAATGCACGGCCTTTAGGCTGTATTTGGATAAGGATTCTTAATATTTCCAACTGTTGCAGCTACCCTGTTGATAGTAATGATAAGAGAACCAATACTAGTCAACAAGACCATGTCTAAACTAGGAAACTATTTCAAAATTACTAAATTCAACTTAAAAACTCCTGATTTAACAAATTTGAACAAGCAAGTCCTCACTACGAGGAAGGATCGAAATTAGTCCAAGGCAGGCTCCATTAATGTGGATATACTACCTTGGACTTAGAGCCCCAGGAAGCACACTAGGGAGCTACGGGATGCCTCCTGGAGGCCAATAAATTCAAATTAGCGGCACCGGACCATCCACACTACCATTATTTCAAAATCACTTTCAAAATTTGCGTTACTCCTCATGAAAAGCACGAGTACAGAGTTCGAATTCTGTGGCCCATTATTTCAAAATGACAGGCTTGGGAGTGAGGATGCACCACTTATTAATTCAAACTTGCGGAGGGCGGGATTATTTTGGAATAAGGTCCTAGTGTAGACCAGGGCCAAGCATAATGTCACCTAACACCACTCAGAGTGCATCTACACAGCACCATAAACTCAAAATAAGATACGCAATTTGTCCTATGCTATTTTGAAATTTGAAATTTGATGCTTCTACACAGCACCAAATTTCAAAATAACACGCTATTTCGAACCATCTCTTATCCCTTGTGTTTTACCAAGATGGTGAAATAGCACTCCCTCTATTTCAAAACATATTTCAAAATAATGGGGGACTTGTGTAGATATGGGGTAATTATTTCAGGATACCTTCGGTATCCTGAAATAGCCAAGCAGTGTAGACGTACCCTCAGAGAACATAAAAGGAATGCAGTTAAAACCGCTGACAGCTTGCATATTGCTCTTCTGCCATTGTAGCTACTAGTGAAGCTGTAACAGTAGAAGCAATGGCGTGAAATTTTAAGAAAAAAGACTGATGTAGACAAGGACTATATTTCCTTCGGTACTTCTCCTAACAGACAAGACTATATAAAATATTCAAGACACAACAGATATTAGATTTTTAAAATGTTGGGTTGGTGGGTTTTTTTTCACTTTTCCTTAGCATTGTAAGTGAAGTCTTGCCCTCTTTCCCATTATTAATTAGAAAAAAAATAGACAGCCTAATATATGTATTGTGCTCATGGTAAGCAAAACATCCCTTGAAAAGTAGTTTCCTGGATATAAGTTCAAATTCAACTTCATAAGAATTCAAAATTGTAACTATTGTAAGTTCTAGATAAAAGTTTTTGAAAGTTAAGAATTTTCTATTTCTTTTAAATTAGTAATTTAGGGCCAAAGTTTGTTAGCAGTATACTCGTAGTATAAATTCAGAGTATTTCAGTGTCTGTAGTGGAATTATTTCTGATTTGCACAGACATAAACAAGAGCAAAATTTGGTCTTGAAACATTTCCAACCATATATCTGTAATTCTCTAAGAAAGTCTGATTTACAAAACTAGGTTTCTTATGACTGCTGCTCTCAGCTGGAATTTCCTACTTTCCTGCATTTTTCATGTAACTGTGAATTTATATCAAAGGTAGGCACTTCAAAGTCAGCTAGACTGCGACTTCCTTTTATATTTAGATAGTGCTTAGCTGTCTATGAATTTGTATCATGAATGTCCTAGTTAAATACACAGAGCTATGTCAATCACATATCATTTTGGGAAATGATTATAGGCTATGACTGACTAAAGCAAATTAAAACTAAATGTACAAGTTCAAGGTCTTAAATATATTTTTGACCTTAGCATCCAATATTTGTAAGTCTATGTGCGTGTTGCAATTATTCACTGCTTAGCTGGCATATGGTTTCTAGTGTGGGGAAAATGACACAGTTAGTAGGTCAAATTCTTCTTGCACGCCAGAGTAGCAAACTAAATTGATTTTATTCTAGATTTACATTGTTGAAACTGAGATCAGATTCTGGATCAGAGTTTTAAATTGTGAAGGAGGAGTATGTATGATACAAATGGTTTTTCTGAGAGAGAAATGTGGTTTGACCAATGTGTGACAAAAATAAGACACTGTACCAGCTATTCCAAATTTTCAGGGACCTTGCTATTTTCCAGCTGTTTACCCTTGATGTAAAATGGCAATTTGACATAGACTAACAACACAGTGTGATGTGAGCATCTGCGTAAAAGGCTGTACATATGGAGCATGCCCAGTGATGTGAAAAGCTTTTTACCCCACCCCCATCCTATCTCTGAAGAGATGAAATGAACTTTGTACTTGTAAATATCACTGAATACATTTAGCACTGGATTTAAAAGCTCCTCTTATAAGTACTATTTTAACAGGCAAAAAACAAATTAAAAAAAAGGCAGCAAAGATCTTTGCCTGTATGATCTCCCTGCATTGAGTTGGAACAGCTCTTACAATATACTTGAACCAATGTACTGTTCTTTTTTCATTACTAAAGCTTTTACTGGCATTGGAAAATTTAAGAATTTACTTGCACTAGAATACTTTAGAGTAGAGTGTCTGAAAGCTTGAAGGGCAGAGGGAAGCAAAGGAAGGAGCTTGCAGCAGAGCATGGATAGGAAAGAAACAGTGATTCTGCGGTGCTCACTGTGCACATGTTTTGTGAGAATCAGTGCCGGGCGCTGCAGCTGCGGACAATAACTGAGCTGTCTGGCTAATGAAGGCCACCTGGATCAGGCTTCTGAAAAGAGCCAAAGGAGGACGGCTGAAGAATTCTGATATCTGTGTAAGCCTTATGTTTTCATTGTCAGAATATTTATTTATTTATTTAACTGTAAGGGAAGACAGTTGCTTTCATTATGATAGAATTAGCAGAATTCTCTTCTTGTGATTATAAGATGAGACCTAAATCAGAGCTGTCATTATTTATTGAGCTTCTTTGGTATTCTGACTTGTTCCATTCTAGGAATACTTGAACAGGTGTTGAGTTGAGGCATATTTAATCAGTTGGAAATTGATTTATGGTTATTTATATGTTTTTACTAAAGAGCAGAGATGGATTTGAGCCATGATCATTTCTGTTAGAGAGTGTCAGGTGCCCTAAAATTAAAATGGAAGGCATGGGTTAAACCTCTCGGCACTGATCTTGTGTAATAGTAATTGTTAATATTGACTTTGCATTTTTTTTTTATTGAATCTGTTCCCTCCCTGGTAGTGAAATGTTTTTGTTTATGGTTTAGATTTTATGAAGCTATCCTTGAAACTGTTGTATGTCCTTCAGCCCTGCACTGCAGCACCACCGTTACTTGACATAGAAACCAGCTCTGCTTACCAAAAAGCATACTAATTAGAATAGGGATTAGGGCAGGAAATAAACCACTGAAGAGAGGACCTCAATTTTGGATAGTCTCCAGATTTGAAACCCTTATTTAATATTCTTCTTCTTAATGATTGTCTCTGCTTCTGTATTTTTCTGTTTGTGTGTGCGCGCGTGTATGTGTGTGTGTCTAAAAGGTATTTCCACAAATATACAATCAGAAAGGTATGGGAATACATCACCATTTTATTGTAATGTTTCTTCTATTTGTAACATTATTTCTTTTTCTCATCTGCAGGGTTCAGCGGACTCCTACACCAGCCGTCCATCTGATTCAGATGTATCTCTGGAGGAAGACAGGGAGGCAGTGCGGAGAGAGGCAGAGCGGCAGGCCCAGGCACAGCTGGAAAAAGCAAAGGTAAGGCACTTCTTGACACCACAGGTTCATGAACCTGTTCTTTTTCTAAGAGCTTGTTGTCTCATTTGGTTACTAGCAGAAATGTTTTTCTAAATATTCTTTTTAAATTCTTCCTAAGATCTCTTGTTCAGGAAAGTAACTATGTGATTGGAAATTGCACTTATCAAACAAACTGGTTGAAGACAGAAGTTGCCATTCTTGAGTGCCCTGACTGTATTAGAAGACTCATTTTGCTTAAAAATAGTTTAGTTACTTTTTGTTATATAGCCCATCAATTCCTAATACATAGGGACAAGTCATGAGATCCTTTTTTATAATCAGTGAGAGTCTTACCTGATTATGATTTGGCCCCATAAATCATGTATATTGTACAATCCTAGAAGTTAGGCATTGGAAATCCAAGTTTTCATCCGTCACGTCTAGGACTGCTCTTGGCCTGGCATGTACAGGCAGTCCCCGGGTTACGTACAAGATAGGGACTGTAGGTTTGTTCTTAAGTTGAATCTGTATGTAAGTCGGAACTGGCATCCAGATTCAGCCGCTGCTGAAACTGATCAGTTTCAACAGCAGCTGAATCTGGACGCCAGTTCTGACTTACATACAGATTCAACTTAAGAACCCCAGGCATCCCCAAGTCAGCTGCTGCTGAAACTGATCAGCGGCT